AACCTGCAAAAAATCAGTGTCAAACAAGTCGATGTTCATGTTTCAAATCTAAAATTAAATGCGGATCAAGATGTCACAAATCTATAAATTGTTGCAACAAGTAATAACAGGATAAAAGTTGTATTTCCTTTAGAATAAGTTATTCTAATTAAAAAAATTTGCGACTTTCAATACATTCTTCTATTTGCCTGAAACGTCTTTGGCAGTATGTAAACTGCCTAGGCATTTTGCATATTGCCTGTTTTCATACATTCAAATTTAGGTATTTTACTAACTGCCCGCGGTTTACAAACTGCCTAGGTATTTTGCATACTGCCGGATTCTGCTATCTGCCTACGACATATATATATACAAACCTTATTGAGCTTGGATTTATCTGGACCAATTCCGAGTGACAAAAACTTGACCATAAGCAGACTGTTTCGGATTAGCTGCAGATTCACTGGTTAAACCAGCCGGACGACTTCTACATTTACTAGTTCCATATGATCTGACTAACTGCAGACTAAACCGGACTAATTACGGATTCAATAGTTATAAAAAAATGTATTGATTTCAAACTTAATTCAGGGTAGAAAAACTCCACAATAAACCGTACTGTTGAGGACAAATTCCGGATTAGTCAAAATCGGTCCGACTTTTTATTCAAGGTATTTACTTATAGTAAATAAAATATTTACTTCTGCAGTCAATTTGTTTTTACAAATTTACTAGAATTATTAGTTATCTTGTTTCAATATTATACTTAACACTGATGTGTTAGTTTCTTGTCATTCCTTTTCGTGGCACTTCATAAATTCTATTATGAATTTGAACTTCCATGTGAGCGTAGTATAGTGGTTAGTGTATTCGATTTCGGTGCTTTATAACGTTAGATAGGTGTAGGTTCGAACCCCCAGCGCTAGAAATTTTAAGTTAATGTAAATAAAATTGCGTTAAGTAAATCGAAAAATATGTTAAATGTACGATAAAGTACAATAATAATTAATATGTTTAACTTGTATAATTATTTTTTTATTAACATTCACTAAATTGTCCGGACAAATTTTTGAATATTTTCGGACTAATTCCAGATTCACTAGTTGTATACAAACCGTATTGATTTCAGATTTATCCGGAATAATTCCGGATGACAAAAACCAACTCCGGATTCACTAGTTATTCACAAACCGTATAGAGTTCGGATTAATTTCGGGTGACAAAAACCTGACCATAAATCGCACTATTTCGGACAAATTTCAGATTAGTCCGAAATCTGTCCAACCGTGGATTTGATGTTACAGTTAATGATAAATCGTCCAAGCGCCCATCCTGCCGGAAGGACGTTCCGAAAAAAAGGCTTTTAAAAAAAGGGAATTCAACTTTTCTTTTCTGGCACTCTTTAGGATTAAAGTAGACGAAAAGACGAAAAAATACATATTTTTGACTTTTTAAAATAATAATATTAAACCATTTTTCAAAGCCTTCAAACTTCCTATGTTTCTAAACAGTGAAAAAATCATTTTTTCGTAAATTTAATGTAAAATCCCCAAAAATCAATATTTTTTGATCGGACAAGTATCTTTCTCTTCAGAAACGTTCAAAGAATGAAACCTAATTTTTTAATTAAAAAAAATCATTTTTAATATTTTTCAGTATATTTGAGTATAGACTCAGGCGCGAGTCCCATAGAAATTGCTCTATAAAATTAATATGGAAGCAGATAAATATAAAACTAAATATATCGTTGGAAAGATAATGAAACAAGCTTTCAAATGATGTAAATATCGAGTCTTTAAATTTGTAAACCTGGGCTAGGTAGTCTCTTGAATAAAGCGAAAAGCGTCCTGCCGGCAGGATCGGGCTTCGTCATTCTGTGGCTAAAAATTATGTGAATTTTTGGAACATGTAACTTCTTCAAATTACCCAGCCCTTAGTTTTGAACTTACAAGCTTGATATTTATATGCGCTGAAAGCTTGTTTTGTTGCCTTTCCAATGGTATTTATCATTTTTTATTTATCTGAATCCATGTTAGTTTTCTTTAGTGATTTCGGAGGGACTCACCTGAGTCTTTTTCGTCCTGCCGGAAGGACGTTGGACGATCTATCATTAAGGGGCCGTCCATAAACCACGTAGCCCCATTTTTTGGGAATTTTGACCCCCCCCCCTCCCCCATGTAGTACGCTATTACATGTATTAGCGCCATTTTTTCCTCTTGTCGTAGTCAATTGCTTGACCCCCCTCCTCCCCCTCAAGAGGCTACGTGGTTTATGGATGGCCCCTAATAAATAATAGTTGCTAATTAACTTGAAAACATAGAACAAGGTAAACCTTAAATTTCATATAAGAAGATAAAGCAAGAAATAATGTTTTAGTTAGATTTAATAGACAAGAGATTTGAAATTTGCATACTCATGTACATATGTACATGCATGAGAAGATCCGTCAACCGGAGAGTCATGCATAAAGAAGTCCTGTAATATTTACGACATCTGATTGGTGAATTCTTCTCCTACATATATATGCATACGTGACTATGTAAATTTGCTTCTAAGGGCCCTTTCGTGGTCAGTTGTTGAGACATTATATAGCAGCTAAGGAGTCCCAAATACACTGGTCAACTCGTTTTCTCCTTTATACCCAGTTATTATGGTTGTCATTGCATTTATATATCTGTATATACATGAGTGTACCACAAAACAAATAATCAAATTTTATTTATGTAACTACCAAAGTTTTGTCAATATTAAACTCTTTTTTTCTGTTTCATTTCTGAATAAATTTCTACTTTCTTTTTTCTTTTATTTTATCCTTTTAATTTTTGCCTATATACCAGAAACTTGTATTCTACTTTTAATTTAACTTTTTTATGGAACAAGTTGAAGTGATATTAAAAGAGGAATATAAATGGAAAATGATACTCTTGTTATTTTATCACTCGACAAAGAATTTTGTTTGCACTTTTTAATGTATCTTTTTCTCGATAGAGGAAAAATTTATTTTTCATTTGTTTTATGAAAGAGAGAACTTAATTTTTATTTATTTGTTTTCTTTAATAATGTTCAAATAAAAAATGTGTTCCTTTTATTGGGAATAAATAATTTGCACTAATATGTATGCTGGTAAAACTAGTTATTCCGTATTGTTTTATAACTACTGTTCTGATACGAATGTAGATGTAACAAAAATTCATTTTTATCATTTATTTGCTCTCAATTATGTAGATACAATATTTATTATGTAAAATATTTTAAGTAGGTAGTATTTTTCACTCAATTTGTTACATTTGTAGAAAAAATCTTTGATCTGATAAAATTTGCTTTGATGTTAGGAATTTTTCTTCAACATATTGTGAAAAGATTTGTGATGATACGGATGTTTTTAATAATACATAAATGGGTAAAATAAAACTAGAAAGCGTTTTGCCTAATGTGTAGCATACGCTTGCGTGTATTTCTTATGATAGTATGCACGCAAGAGCATGTTCATTCTCTTTATCCGGCTCGCAGAAGCTGAGAAGTGCTTTGAAAATACGTTTTCATTTGTGCTATATCTGTATACATATGTATATATATATATCATGTGTAACATGGTATGTTGAAATGTGATTGTATTTCTATTTCTCACACACGCAATGTGTGAGCTGCTTGATTCTAATTAAAAAATTTCCATTTAGAATTAAAAAATTTTGTATTTATAAATTTTACATTTTATTCTTTATATAGTCCGGTGATATTAGTATTTTTTAATAATTTAATTTGACTTTCGGTTGGAAGTAAAGGAGGCGTATAAATATTTCCCAATTCTCATTCAACCGAACTGGCATTTAACAGAATTTACATTATTAATTTAAATTGTCTAGAACTATTGAAAAACAAGGGTTGAATAGAAATCCTCTGAATTAAAAATCCTATCAAATAAAATTGTAAGAAATGACCTTTGTGGTTTATTCATGCGCCTCATACTTTCCTTGCCAAGCATATGTGAAACATTTGTCCGGAAGATAATGTTTCCTTGAAGATTTGTGATTTGGCAGAGAGTGTAGAAACTGTTTGTTAAGGAGGTTACGGAAATGAGACAAAGGAATGTAATAGAACGATATGTGATTACCGAAAATAACAGTATGCGCATGCATATAGGTAGGAACCAGATGAGTTTAGAAGGGAGATATTATCTCGGGGACATACGCTCGATGTTAATACGAGCATAAGCACGAGTCGACTGCCAGAACTGCCTTTCCAACTCGATTCAACTTGAAAGAGGGTAGTTTTAATTACGCCATTAGGGGAGGTTGAGGGTCTGACTGCAAACCGAGCGCGCGGCTAGACGTCTTCCGTCCTCGAATTTACCAGCGGCCTTCTATACCACCACCTTTTTGCTAAATTAATATCGCGCTTAAATTTCGCTTTCGCTCCCACTCGTCTTTCTCTCACGTAAATTCTATGTAAACTAATAGCGTAAAACCTAGTGTCTTTGCACAAAAGTGGAAGAAAGAGACAAAGGGTTTCGCTTTTTGACATTCATAAAATTAGGATCAATCCCAATTTTTCAAAAATTGGATAAGTGTGAGAATGGGAATATTTTCGCTTGAAACTTGATTCATTTTAAAAGGATTTTACACCTTACAGAAAAGTTCATTTAAAATAATGCAAAATTTTACTTTTCAGTTTATGCTCCTGCAGCAAATAAATTGCTGCAATAATATCAACATTGCCTCAATATTTTAATACCTACTGCATTAATTTCTAACAGCAACTAATATTCTAGGATATCCTACGGACGTCCTAGTCACATCCAGAAATTAGGATATCTCTGGGATGTTCTCAAGATATCCCAGGACGTCCCTCCGACATCATACAATTATAATAATCTTCAGATATCTTTTAGACATTCGTATAGGATATCCGGATTATTTGGATGTTAGGGATGCTAGAATATTGACCCAATATTACTGTGTTAATACTGCTAGTTATGTATAGGTAATATCTATTTAAAATATGAAGTCATTTTTTATACTTACTAGTTCTTGCCTCGTATCGCTCATCATCAGGTTCGTGATTTCCATTATCCTCACTAGCTATTCCTTGTGTCTGTACCACTCTTGGAATTTCTGCAAAAAAATAAAAATTCATTTCACATAAATACATTCTATTTCGTGTTTTGAAGTCTAAACACATTTGACAATACTTTAAGGGGGAGTAATACCTTTGAGGTGCCTTTTGAACCTGTTTTTCATGAACTTTTTTAAGACACAGGAATAAAGTAAACAAAATTTGGTTTCGAGGACTTTATTTGTTAACTTTTTAAGTTTACGAAAATTTATTTATGGGGCACTCCAGTCCAAATCGCAAATCATTTTGCTTTTACATCTCAAATTTTTTTAAACATTTTTTTTCTTTTAGAACTCTTTGAAATAAGCTACCTTGATTTTTTTCAAATTTTTTCATAAAGCGGTTCAGGAGATACAGATTTTTGATAAATGACGTGTAAATTTTTTTTAAATGGTTATAACTCTGTCAAAAATTGATCAAATTGAACGTTTTTATAATGAAAAGTTTTGTTTTACTAAGTTCCCCTTATAACCCAGCAGTCAATAAAGAAACCATTATAGCCCTAGGGAAATAAAGGGTACATTATTGACCGCTCGTAGGTCAACAAAGTACCCTTTATCTCCCTAGGGCAATAATGGTTACTTTATTGACCAGCTGGGTTATATGAGAGAACTTAGAATGCACCGGTACAGGTAGCATAGAGTAAAGCAAAAAACTAAAAACTTTTTTCTAAATAATTCATTAAAAAATTTTTTTAAACAATTTATTTTTCTTGCATTATTTTCAATACCATATTGTATACGTAATTTACAGTTTGTCTCAAATCTGTATTATTATTTGCAAAGGCGATGACTTTTTATCTTTGTTTCAAATAATAACAAAAAGTTAATGCAAAAATTCAAAAATGTTTATATATATTGTTTTAGTAGGGTTTAAACTTCATAGAAAAAATTCAACATAGCAATGCAATACTTATTGAAAAAGCTACAAGCTTTCAAAGTAAGCCCCTGTCAAAATGCTTCAAAAAACCATGTATTTTTCACTCTCGAAAATCCGTAAATAACGCAAAAAATTTTTTTATTTCTTGCATTTCCGTATACTAACGTAGAAATAGTGTCTCTCCTAAATCCAAGTTGTCCGATTAACGTGTGAATTTTTTTACCTGAGTTATGAGCTTTCAAACACAGGGGCCTATACTTTTTGAGCCGATAGCATATGTTTTTGGTAGGTTTTTTCACGCTCTTTCAAATGGTGAAATTTTTTTTTTAAAATCAAAATTTAACCCCTTTTTTAAATTACAAATTTTTTTGATTTTTTTTCAAAAAGGACCCTTTTTTTCTCTTTTTTTTGTACCAAAAGAAAGCTTAAGATGTGTACTTTTAATAACTAAAACGAACAAAATGACGTTTTTTTTTTGAATTATTAATTTATTAATTAATAAAAATTAATAAAAATTGAAATATTTTGCAACAAAATAAAGTTAACGCAATTCTGAAGTTACTACTGTAAAGCATTACAAAATCCGCATTTAACGAGTCCAATATGAAATATTTTGGATAAATTGACGTATTATAAATAAATATTTATAAAAATTAATTAACAAATGAATATCATTTATAAAAATAAAGATAAAGTGTTAGTTTTTTTTACACAAATGTTTATACAATTCTACTTTTTTTAAAAAATGTATTCCAGTTATTTGCAACAATTGTTTAAATAAAATATTCATCACCTTATGCGTGTGTTGCGCTGCATAACTATCTTCCCGGCTTAATATTATTTCACATTTTTTATAGAATATTTTTTTATTTTTTACATTTTTGATGTAAGAAAAGATGATTTCTTTTTTACATCAATAATTTTTTATTATTTTAATATTATTTATTATTATTAAATTATTTTGTGCAACACCTGTAAGGAAAGTAATACTTTGCATGCCTGTAAAGTATGCGCAAAACAGTACTTTGCTGCACTAGTGCGGCAAAGAGCTTACTTTGCTGCACTAGTGCGGCAAAGTGGTTATTTTGCTGCACTAGTGCGGCAAAGTGCTTACTTTGCTGCACTAGTGCGGCAAAGTTCTTAAACTTTTGGGTTTTTTTTTGTGATATACATAGGTATTTGTTTTCTATTTGTAGAATACCTGTTTTTTACAGTAATATACGCGTAAAAAACCACGAATATTAAGTGCGGTAACATACGTTCCAAACCCTGCTAAATAGTACGTATGTTGGCGTCAACTAGCGTTTCCAAACAGCTTTTTTTATCAAAACCAAAAGGTGTTGCACAAAGTACTGTGTGCAACACGTACGAAAGAAGATTTTCCAACTTCGTGCAAATTGCTGCCCTCGCTTCGCTCGGGACAGCAAACTTTGCACTCGTCGGAAAAGAGCTTCTTTCTGTACTTGTTGCACAATATACTATTGTAATTCATTTATTAGGAATTACGTAAAAATTTCTTGTTGATATTAAAATAATAAAAAATTATTAATGTAAAAAAGAAACCATCTTTTCTTACATCAAAAATGTAAAAAATAAAAAAATTATTCTTTAGAAAATGTCAAATAATATTAACCCCTTGACTGTGAGGGAACGTCTATAGACGTACATTTGAAAGTGGGCTCTCAGTGTGAGGTACGTCTATATAGACGTACATGCAGCAAAATTGATAAAAGGCAGAACGAGGCAGAAAAAACAAGTAAATTTACGTCACACATACGTTACTTATGGTATTTTCGACGCTGAATCCGAATCTGAAGTCAAATTTCGAAAATTCGAAAACCAAAATCCAATATGGCTGCTCAAAAGTAGACTGTTTTGAATGATACTTTTATTACACGGATTACAATTGTTTACGAACAAATACTAATTGATACACCTGCCTACAGTACATTCTAAACGCATACACTAATACATACATCGCACGCTTTACATTATTGCTTCAGAAAGTTTAAACTGTCCTTATATATTAATCTCAATTTTATTTCACCGCTTGTGAGAAAGATTCAAATTAATAAACTATCGTTGTACAAAATTAAAAATTATTTATATTAATGAATCATTTCTAACTATATTCAAGGTCAATTTATGAAATATTTTTAAATTATGTTTTTATTATTATAAAGAAAAATGTTTAAATTTGTATTTAATGGAATAAAACAATAATTTATGAAAATCCTTATTATTCTTAAATTTTTGTGTTTAAAATTAAAAATATACATATTAAAAGTGCAAGTTGGACATTATTAAATTAATTAATAGAAAATTAATCTTTCTGAAATATTAAATAATAATTGTGAGGTATTAAAAAGCGAAAAGGAAATAAGCAAGTAAGCAAATAAGGAATAAAGTAAGCAAGAAGGAAATAAGCAAGTAAGAAAGTAATCAAATAAGAAAGTAAGTAATCGATAAGGAAATAAGCAAGTAAGCAAAGTAAGAAAGGAGGAAATAAGCAAGTAAGCAAAGTAAGCGAGAAGGAAATAAGAAAGTAAGCAAGTAAGCATATAAGGAAGTAAGTAAGCAGAAAGGAAACAAGCAAGTAAGCAAGAAGGAAATTAGGAAGTAAGCAAATAAGTAGGTAAGCAAAGTAAGCAAGAAAGAAATAAGCAAGTAAGTATGCAAATAAGAAAGTAAGCTAGTAAGCAAGCAAGTTATTTCCTTTTTGCTTACTTGCTTACCTACTTATTTACTTACTTACATACTTACTTATATGTTTAATTGCTTACTTATTTATTTCCTTTTTGTTTACTTACTTATGTTTACTTGCTTACTTACTTACTATTATTCATATTTAATTAAAATGAATAAATTATATGTTAAAAAAATAAGTATGTTATTGCCATTTTATATTTTCTTTTTACATGATTTAAAAGCATTTATTACATATTTGGCAATTAATAAGTGTTTAAAATAATTAATTAATTGAATTTTAATTTAAATAATAATAAAATGATTATTTATTAATTAAGTCTAAATAAGTTGGAAAAATCAACTATTAGTGTGAAAGTCTTTCATTTGGCTGCGGGACACTTGAAATAAAGTATTTCAATCCAGAAAACTAAAACTTTAGGCAAGTCAAGGAAGTTTGACCGAACTATTCCTGAAAACTAACACTTTAAGCAAGTCAAGAAAGTTTTACCGAACTATTCCTGAAACGTTAGTGCCCATCAAGGAGGTATTTATTTAATTTACATTGAACGTTCAGTTTCAATTTTTTTTCAACTTTTACAGTACTAGTTCTTAAGGAATAAAGATATCACATTAGATTTTAAATATTGTTACCAAAAAAATAATATAAAAATTATTAAAAATTACGATTATGCTACTATATCCCAACTTTATTGAAAAATTCGGTAAAATGTAAGGAACAAATTTTCTCCGTGTATATTAAATCTCAGGCAGCATACATTATCATATCAAAATAATATCTCACACAATTATATCAAAATGTTTTCGACGTCGCTGGTTACGAATATGAATTTCGATGACGGACTAATTTTTTTTTAATTCATTAAATTCGCTTGAAACTTGTTACTCGGGGGTTTTCGAGGTCGCTGATTCCGAATATGAAGTTAGATTTTCGAAATTCAAAATAGCGGACATATTTTTTTGAATTCATCGGATTCGCTTAAAACTTGTTACTCAGGGGTTTTCAAAGTCGCTGATTCGGAATATGAAGTTAGATTTTTGAAATTCAAAATGGCGGATCCAATATGGCAGACATATTTTTTTTAATTTCTCGGATTCGATTGAAACTCGTTACTCGGGGGTTTTTGAGGTCGCTGATGACGAATCTGAAGTCAGATTTTCAAAATTCAAAATGGCGGATCCAAAATGGCGGACGTATTTTTTTTGAATTCATCGTATTCGCTTGAAACTTGTTACTCGGAGGGTTTTCAGGGTCGCTGATAACAAATCTAAAGTCCATTTTTTTAAATTCAAAATGGCGAATCCAATATGACGAACACATGTTTTTAATTTCTCGGATTTGCTTAAAACTCATTACTACAGGGGCTTTCGAGGTCGCTAATTACGAATATGAAGTTAGATGTTTGAAAATTTA